CCGATACCGATATATCGGCCGATATAATCGGCAGGCCGATATATCGGCAACGCCGATACAACACAGCCGATATTAACCAGTTCAAAAAGCGCGCGAAACGTACGACGCGTGCGACGTTGCCGCTCTTGTATAATATAAATGTTTTTTTTCCATTCTCATTACTGATTTTTTATTAATTAAGTATTTTTCCTTCAGTTCTCAGGACCTAAATTAATAATAATGTGGTGTTTCATACATATGAAATAAATAACTTTGAAGGGAGACGTGTGTATGTATATGTATACCTGTATGTCTACATATGTGATGTCTACATATATGATGTCAATATCTTAATAACTCAACATCTTAATAACTTCCGTCAAATTTGTTTAACAAACATGAAGCACTTATCTACGCCATCAATATCGGTATCTGTATCGGTATCGCCGATTATTTTTGTTTAAAATCGGTATCGGTATCGTATCGGCAAAAACATGTATCGTTACATCCCTACTTATTTCTTTTGAAGACGTCATTGTCTATGTAAAAGTAACAATAATTTTATTACAAATATCTTTTAACCAAAATGTTAAATAACAGTTGGCTTTATTGTTAATCGGAATTAAATTCCAAGTCTAAAATCCCGAGGAATGATTAACGACAAGTTGTCAGCCCCCCCAATGTCGTTGTATGCCAGTCATAGCGTATAATGGCAATATTCCGACTAAATTACCTTCCGATGTAATTACCATTGTGTTATACAGAAATACGTGAACGTAAGTAAGGACGATGACGTACGTCATCCATAACCTAATAACAGTGTGGTTGCTATTGAATTTTCTCTTGAGTTTGATGAGAGTGTAAATAAAAAAGATTGTGATAAAATTCGTAAAATATCTGTTCCATTTCAGGCTAAGTCCACGACGGCTCTAAACATTACGGGTTAGTTTTTCTACTGTCTGTCAATTTACTCCATCTTCAAAAAAGATATGTTTTATGTATGTGTCTTCAAAGTTAACTCTATTGATACCTGACCTGTATACTCACAGGTCACGCAATAAAAATACGTATGAAATATATAGTCATGTAACTGTAAGATAATTAAAGAAAGAGCACAGCAAGAAAACATCGAAAATCCAAAAAAATAAAAAGTACTGCAGGAAGCAATTTTTAATTTAAATAATTTTGGAAGTTATGTTGTGAACTGCAACAACTAAAGATATGACACCTAATATCGGTGAAGCATGAAAACAAATTCTTAAGTAACATATTGATTCACAGGATATGGTAATGGTGGGCGAGAAATGGTAGACTATTTCGGTATAAGTTCGGGGTAAGAGCGATTTATTTTCAGTTCTATTTCCTTTCCAGACGCTAGGGGCGTAATATTACGTCTATTACTGTAGATGTATGTTTGCTTGGGATATTATGTTTATTTGTCGTGTGGTACATGTTGATACGGCTATAAAAATGACGGCAAATAGATACATATTAACGGATAAAAAGAAGCTAGTGGACGTACCGGAGGAAAGGTTAGGATGTAGGAACATAAATGAAGCTGAAGGAATATTCAAATACACACATCAAAAGCGTCTAGGGATCAAGCATGTTGTTGTTAATTACTGAAAATCTGGTTTTTTAATAAAAATTGTCAATACCAATAGATTATTTTTCCAAAAAATTCCAACAGTAATGAAAAAAGTGTTAGAAAAATCGGATTTTCAGTATTGAAGTATGTAGAATAAAGAATATATAAAAGATGTCACGGAAAGTATGTTAAAGTATTCATAGATTTTTTTAACTTACGGAATGCAAAATCTTTTATGATTAAACTTTAATTTTTTTATATAATAATCACGCACTCAACAGAGCCCCGCACTAGGGAAACCCTGTGTCGTGGGTGCCATGTACACACACATAGACAACCACAAATTACACGAGACCACAAACACACAACCAAAGTCACGAGGGAAACAAATGTAGGCCATACAAATATTTATCCCGTCCGGGAATCGAACCTGGGACCTCTGCTTGGCTGTCCGGCATGGTAACCGTTCGGCCACGGAGGCAGTTAAGATGTTGCTACTTAATTGAAGTAAGTTATAAGTATACGAGTTACAGCCAAATTTGGAATTAAAGCCCATTTCAATCATATCATTCAAGGAGAAACTTTGAGATTAAAGGTACGATAAGATTAATTATATTAGAAACGGCCTCGTCTTCCGCACTTCCTGCTAAGAGGTCCCGAGTAGAGTACATTGTAAGGAATTAATTTAGACATAATAAATGAATTCGTCAAGATTCCTAAAGGAAATTAAGTCGGAATGAAATTTCGTAGCGCTGTAATGGAGATGGTTGTGTTAAAGGCCCGTCTCAAGTCAGAAACTGTTGAATTTATATTTCAGGATATTATTTTAGTTGCATTTTCCTCGGCGTCACATCTGATTACTTAGACGTTTATAATAACATATATTGACTGGTGGTCCATAAAACAATATAAACAGATTATCCGAAATAATGTTCGTCAAGAAAGCATTCCTCCACCATAACTAACTCAGTTTGGTTACAATTTAATTCCAAAAGCTCCATGTGGATTATGCTCTTTAAATCGACCATCTGCACATTGTGAGCTTGTAGGGTGTCCTGAGGGAGTAATTTTTGACCGGCAGTTGTTTGTATATTTGGGCAGCTGGCAGGCAGGTGGTATGGAACGTGCCTGTTTTGATGGATTCGTGATTGTATTACTATTCCAATTATATTTCATATTCCTAGTCAAATGTTTGTGTAATTTCTTTTGACAAGGGTTCTTTCTCGCAGTAATCAAAGCGACCGTGTATTCCTTCTTTCTCTCGACATCCACATATTGAATTTTATAATAAACGATAAGCTCCTTACACACTTAAAGAGCTTCGTCAATTCCAACATTCCTCTGTTTAATAACAAAAATTCTTGTAGCTCAATAAGTTCTCGCACGAATTCTGCATTAATTCCGCTACGCACTCACTGGTATTAATATTCACGCGGCGTACTCAGCGATTGCTCAAAACTCCACTTTACGAGTTTCATGCCTCTTGTTGTTACAACTAACAACTTTGCAGCTACAATGTGTCTGCCACACCAACTTACGCCTATATCACTTACAAATTATATTGCATGTGCTACTTAAATTACGGGTTTGTAGTATTGTTAAATTCGTGTAGGTATTAAACGTTTTACTGTATGTATTGCATATTGTACGAGTATCTCAAAATGTATCACTTTCATACATTCTCAATTACTTAACCTACTCAATGCTACGTTGGAAAGCATTTGAAGTTTCACATTCAATTCTTGCTATTATATGTACGAAATATATATATGAAATTGTCAGATATTTCCCCATGCATACTCCCAGTTGCCGGAGTTCAAATAAGGATAGAGAAATTATAAAAAACCCTAGAGAGTGGATAGTTATCGGAGAGACAGCGACCCACACTGATACCAAGTATCCCACAGTTGTCAATACTAACTCGGTGCGGGCGCAGCTTGCCGTAAATGGTATGAACCGTCTACAAGATATCGCCGATCATAATCGGTGGAAAAACTCGGTCCTAGAAGCCGGACTTGACCTCTTTCAAAGTTAAGACCTTATAGACCTATTTAGTGGAGAAAGAAAATCAGCTTAAAACTAATTTATGAGCGATAATTTTGCAATACCAAACATATAATGAATACTTTTTACGCACAATGACAATATTTTTCTCAAATATGCTTATCGGCTTAGCGTCACTTTCCAAGTTAGGAAACTTGACCCACTATACCTTTTAACAAAGATTGTATCTAGACCCTTAAAGAGTTCAACTTTCAGCCGCAAGAAGTGCTGCGGCGATATGGGAAGATAAATGATGGTTAGTTCGACTCTGAGAGTGCGGCGGGAAGCAAGCGCAGCGCATCTGCCGGCCCACGTGCCGCCCGCGCAGGTTTCTCTTTATAAAATTATGTATTTTTTTATTTCCCCAACAAGCGCATTTATCATTTAGAACAGATGCGCTCCGTAATAACAGGGTTACCTTAGGTAATTCAATCTTTAATTAAATTTAATTCTTCCTCGGTTTTCATTTCTTAGCGTAGCGTAGGCGTCTATTATTCTATTCATTTTGTTTACCATTTAGATCCCTTTGTTCTTTTAATTGCTTAATGTTTTGGTACGTTTCATGTTACATTGGTGAGATGTGGGTCGTCACAGTGTGGCCTGCTTTCTGGCACACATGTGCGGGGGTAGATGCCTGTTTTTTGTCAGTCAACATTTAAGGGGGACGTTCCGTAACATGTGCGAAAGTAGCGTTCAAACATTGCAGGATGTGAGATTTTAAGGATTCAACCGCTTCGATAAATCATAACTACAAAATAATATCATGCTTATTGTTCTCAAATTAATAGATTAGTTTAAGTCTCTATCTACTCAAAAACGGTATTGTTAGTGACAGATACAAAATTGTTATTCTGAAGAGCTTCGTTTCCAGATCAAACAAGAGGCATGCTTGTAGCTTTGTTGTGTAACCTCTATGGCAGTGATTAAATCTCACCATTATTATTAACTGGCTCCATTCAAACACCCACTGTCGTTCGCTAGGCGTTAGAGCTATGCCGTCCACCCACAGCGGCGGGTCCCGTAGGCGCAACAGGGTCACGCACACAAGCTTTTATTCATATCGACTTCTAAACGCACAATTCCAATTGTTCAAACTAACTCTAATTTACATTCGGAGAGTCAATGTCGTCTGAGACGTAACACAAGGTCTACCATTGTTTTGGCTGTTTTGGTGGTCCGGACGGAATATCATCGCGCTCATTTGAATATTTCAATAAATAAACAGTCTTCTCTCCGACTCCCGTGTGAGGTGTCCAATATAAACCGATGTGTTCCATGTGTCATGAGTCGTGCAAGCCAAGATCATCAGACAATCAACATAGACAACAGCATACCAACAGTGAACAATCCATTTATCTCATGCAAAACATTAAGATTTTAAGAACTTTACCGTTGATTTTCATGTTAGTATTCAAGAGGACCATCGGCGCGAACTTCCAGAATCACTTATAAGGAAATAAGTTTCATCACTCCAATTAACACACTTCAATAACAAACGTTACTGATCACTGCAACAATTATCCAGATTTTAATCCAATACACTTTGGTTGAACAGCACTAAGTTTTGTCACAAGTTATAACACTCGAAAGAAATTATGAGCAACAAGACACGTGCGTCAACACGCTGACCGAAAGGCGAACTGAGCGAGTAGAGTAGTCCGACCGACCGGGCTCAGCAGGCTTCGTTGCCGAGTGACGCGCAGTAGCTCTCCTGTCCCCTTCGCCCCTCACACTGCACCCGACAAATCCGGCGACGCTGTTCGATGGAACTGTCGTGACTCGGCGATAGATTAAACCCACCTTTGTATGAAATTTCTTCTCGTTTTTACGTTGGGATTTTATTTGAGTAGGTCGTGATTTGACTATCGCGCCGACACGCTCATGTGGGCGACGACGGCCCTGCGATGCCCGCTCGATAATGCAATAAAGCGAGATTGTAAAATTTATTTACGCGGCGATGTGAGACCGTTATCTGGCGTGTGGCACTCGACGTAGCATCGGTGAGTGCATCGATAACGATACGGGTATACTCAAAATAACACTGTCTACCATCCAAATAATAACAAGCTAAACGAGTACTCCAAAAACCACATTCGATCTGGACGAATAGACATCGATAGAGAAAGCAGTGATTGATGATTTCCCATCGTGTACTTAAAGTTTAATATAGACGCAATCGATATATCACCATGATATATGGAATATATGATAATAAACCATCGGTCAATGAATAATGAATACGAATTATTAATGTGCCAATCTGATAATGGTCATCATTATGCTACCTTATCCGATGGGGGTTTAGCGCCTGGCCACCGATTATTCGCCTCGGATTGACGTGTTAATTCCACTTAATGAAGAGTTATCGCGACTTACGCCTCTAACCTATATTTTAATACAATCCTTTATTTTCCTACAAAAATCCGCTTTTGAACAGGCACCGTTATTATAACCCTCAAGCGATCATCTACCAAATCAAAGGCTTTCTATTAAAATCGCACACTTTGATATTTAGTATTCTAAAAAACAAAAAATTAATTTAAATTTATAAGTGAATCCTTTCAGTACTATAATTTTCACGTCAACTAAAAACATGATCTTCTTTCTTGGGAATTGGGTGTAATCTGTTCTTGGCAAGATGATGGTACGACCGCGATAAATGTTAAACTAGTCGGGTTAACTTGGGTTGCGAGGCCCGTTCATCAAATTCAGGTTTCTTAATTTTTATTTTATTTTCCCAGGGTTTCTGGGAAGGTCGGCTGGCAAGGTCGCTTGACTGGTCACATGAATCTCAGCTTCGGTTTGTAGTGTTAATAATAATTTAAATCAACTGAAATCCCGGCCTTTGGTTTTTGTCTTTTAAGTAGAATATATTGCGTGGGATAATCAGAGCGTGTTTTAAATTGATTTCGTGAATAGTGTTTTCTGTAACATGTGGGATGATTAAAATAAACATATTTTAGCATTATTTATATAACGTCGGTGCTTTGTCTGGCGATTATAAGCTTAAAAGACGCGACGACTTCGTCGGACTCGGACACTTGTCCGAATCGTAATTAGGATCGCCGGGAGGATCAATGATTACATAATAAAAACTTTTGTAGAGTTTGTATCGAATAGGAATGAAATGTTTCAAGAAATTCCGACTCATTGCAGTCCTTATCCCCTGATTTGGTTTTAACTAGTTTGTAAATAAATTCCTTTCTCGAAACAACCTCTTTTAGTCTTACGAAATGAACCTTGACTTTGTTCATTTCTGGCTAACAATTATGACTAATAGCATAACAATAGATATTCTGTAATGTAACATTTTTGGGTAATCTGACAGAACAGATTAATGACCTACGGAATAAAAGTAATATTCGAACTCTGTCATCGTAAGGTGTGCAGGTGAGCAAAAAGCAATAAAAACAAAATCAATAAAACGTTGTACCTTCTTTAATTTGAAAGCTATGAGGTAGATATCTTAAACTAAAATGCTTGAAATATCGAAATTCAAAATGTATGGAAAGTTAAAGGGGAAAAAATGGAAAAGGATGGCACAATAAAAAAAATATTCGGATTTCCCTTACGACAATTGTATTTAAAACAGTAGAATTATTTTTTTTTTATTATCATAAGTCTATCCCTACTGCTAAATCTCCTCTAAGAAAGGGGTTTTTATTTGGACTATACTCCACTACCTGCCTTAATGCAGTTAGGGAACTTTACATTTCCTTCAAGAGCTATGTACCTTATTCAATATGCGAGTTTCATCACGGTGTTATCCTCCATCGTTAACGAGACACATTGCTACTAAACAATTACAAATGTACGAAACATAGAAATTACAGTCATTGCAGACAGCCGCCAACGGGTTTCGAGCCGTCAACTTCTCAATTACCTAACTCATTCATGGACGATAACGGCGCTAACCGTAAAATTAAATATCAGAAATGATAACCGAGTACCCCGTTTCGAATTTTTATGAATCTCAAAAAACCAAGTACAGGTTTTCTAGTGCTTTTCAAAGTGCTGTCTGTATCGTTGTCACCTACTGCTTGTCCATAGAGAAATATTAACAACTGATAAAATTCAACGAATTACAACGAATTACACGCTTTGTACGATGGACAATGACGTATTTGTATTCGGTGATACAAGTACATGTAATGCCATCGAATTTTCTAACAAGAAGAGTAAGTTTTAACCATATTTATTTTCTCTAAAACACTTATGTTTTTAATACTAATTCAATATAACACAACGACAACCATTCTACTACTTTGTTTTAAACAAGAATTTTGTCGGGATCAGCCGTCAATGATAAAAACATTGAGGGACTTAATTTAGCTAAACTAAAAAATAACGTGTACATTCTCTTCTACAGATCCCGGGACTTCTTAGAACTGAATATATTTGTATATGCGCATTAGTTATTGAAATTTGAGTTCATTGCCGACAAATTATTATTTCGTTTTCAGTATTTGCTACAAATTATTGTTTCAAAAAATTATATTGTATTTGTGTTTCAACATTTGAAAACATGGACTATTTACAAAACAAACAGTAAAAATAAAGGAATTTTATACGCATTAATGACGAAACGGGTACGTCCATATTACGAAAACGTTCATACATCAGGTAGATTCACTCCCTCAATTCCGACCACCGATGATAAAGCGTAATTATTATTTTGAATGAATACAGCACAAAGAAAAATAGTGGAAGTTTGGAGTGCGGTCCATGAACAGGTTAAGATGCAATCATTCTCCAACTGACCTATCATTGCTATATATCACCGCTTTATATATTATGTATTAATTTTCGTAATATTTTTTTTATATTTATCATTTCCTCATAAATATATACTTTGAATTTCGACAATATGTTATTGAGGCGTATTTGATATGCAAGACCTTGCATCCAAAATAAACATTCTTTCATCCAAAAGATACGAGTATGTATGCCTACGAATGCCTATGTTTTGCCTACGAATTTAAAGTGCAGTTTTGATTGAAGCTGAAATTTGTCTAAAAGCAAATGGTAAGTTTAAAACAACATTTCTTTTTTACATTTTACAATTTCTATTTGTATCTCGTTTAAAGATTTTGATATTATAGACACTATCTTCACCGGTATCACAATTTAAATCCTCTACAGTTGATGCTCATCCAATACATCTCTGAACTTGTTGATTTTTAGCAAATCCATTGTCAGGATCGTGCATTGTTGCCCGAACAGCATATTTCATCGACTGAGAGCAACCAATGGCGATCCTCCTACGTAACCTACTTGTCATGATGCCCACACGTTTTAAGGCTTCCTTGTTCTTGTACTTTGAATTTGCTTGCGTTTTGTTCCCTTTACTTAGACTTCGTTAGATTACAGTTTTGTGCCTCTATAAGTTTAGGAGAGTGGTTTATACTTGTAAATTGGAAGAGTGATAGTAAGTGCTAATAGTTTGTAGCTCTTTACTTAGTCCTGGTCACTGATGTTCGCGTACTCTAAATAGGCTAATTATTATAACGATATGATAAAGTGAGGTAATAGTCATTACTGTTACTTAATCTATTAACTAAGCTAATACATTACAAATTTACAAAATACTGAACTGCAATGCGACACGACAAGAAAGGAAAGCATAGGCTACGAAATGATAAAAGGCTATACGACGCGCTGCGACGCGATACCGCACCACACGACACGACTTCATACGAAGTCACACGACACGATATGACTAGGCACGAAACACGCGACACTACACGACTTGGCACAAAATCATACAATACGACACATATGACATAATGCAACACGATGAGACAAGACATGACACGACACGGCACGAAACGGCATGACACGACACGACACGGTACTAAACTACACGACACGTCGCAAGTGTCACGACACGACAAAAGTTACAATAGAAATAGTCTTTATGGCACACAAAACATGTAAATCATGGGACAATAGACGGCTTTACTGCTAAATAGCAATCTTTTATAAGTGTTATAATGTAATTTGTTACACTGATTACTGTAAAGCATTTACAGGCATTAAAAAAATAGGTTAAAACAGTCGAAGGCTAAAAGTAGGTTAAAAAACTGTTGTTTCTCGAGTTTAAAAATTCGCTTTAAACATTGTGAAAGAGAGATTATAGACGGTGTTAAAACATTTTTAATTCTCGCAGATGCAAAAATAAAGAATCACTAAGTGGTATTGGGCGTTGATATAGAGAAACTGGAAAGGACTGCAGTTAACTTGTACTGCAGATAGCAGTTGGGGTAATATTTATGACAAATTTGTCAAGAATTAAAATGTATATATAATACAATATTTAGTTTGCAAAAGTGGCGCTGCAGCTGCGCTTCTAAATATTGCATGAAAATTAGTAGTGGCGTGGCTGCAGCGTCACATTGGTGACACTGCAGCGCTTCTATAGCGTCTGATTTGAAGGCGCCCTAATTGCATTAGTAATGTATATATTATGTATAAAAAAGAAATCAGATGTCATAGTTTTACTAACATTGCAATCGGGGACCGAGACGTCCCCGTAATAATAGATAGGTGTGAAAAACTTATTAAATCGAATTCATCACTTTTACGTCCCTTTGCAATGTTAACATAACGTAATGCGAAAGTTTAAACTCAAACTCTACTTTATTTATATATATATATATATATATATATATAATAG